TGAACGTGACAATCGGGTTGGCGAACCACTAACGGAGTTGTCTAAAAGCCCTTATTCGAAACCAACCATGAAGAGGCGTACAAACCGCAACTTAGTGGTCGAGGTAGTGCTCACCGACCCGATAGGCATAGAGGTGTATTTGGCACCTTGGAAGTTTGACCCCATCCAAAGGAGATGATTCCTAGTGAGAACAGTAGACGCGCAGCTAGATTCAGTCCCAGTTGATAGTCGGTTGGGAGCTGTGAGACAGTTTCGAGCCCAGTAAGCCGTTTGCTCAGACAAACGCAAACACGTTTGTCGTCCCGATGTATGCACCCACAGATTGCAGCCCCAATGCAGCATGCGACTAGGATTTCAGCATATATGAATGCTAGAGTAGATTTGCTGACCTCCAACGAGGAGCATTTAGTCGTTTGGGGCTATTTCCCTGTGGCTTTATGCTCTGAATATCGATTAAATCTTTATGAATCGCGGGGACTGAATCGCAACTAGGTGTTACTGAGAAGAACACATCAAGACTAGTTAGGGCAAGAACAGCTTTCGTTAACTTGCGGTATGCCGTCTGACTTTCCCTTAAGAAAAAGATGTACATCGCCGTGGTTCGCAGTTTTTCGCTTCATGGTTATAAGACCTGGACCCCGAAAGCTGAGAATGATAATCGATTATCCGTAATCGACCACCAATGCCTTCGAGATATTGCTCGTGTCTGATGAGGACAGCGGTTAAACAATGAGAATTCGTCATTGTGTGTTGAGTAGTTGAGTAACCATTCTATTTACCACCTCCGATGGTTCGGTCCTGTTCGCGTATGCCTACCAAGTGCCTACCTATCCACGCTCTTCTAAATTGCTGGCCAAGGGTGTTAGAAGCGACGCGTCGATCAAAGTCAGCCCTGGCGGAGCGGTATAAAGAGGTTAGCGTCGGCATCGGCTTCGATAGTTGCAGCGCATCTTTTGGAAATGATCATTTTCGTTGGTTGGTAACGCTGAGGCATAGATCAGGCTAGTAGTCAGCAGCGAGAACGTTGTACGGTCTGCCTATTGAAATCTCGAGCCGTATTTGAAGGCAAACAACCGAATAAGCAAAAACTCGTCAAGCGTACGGTGAAATAACCGGCAGTCAACTCTTGTTCACTGGAATCAAATTCTCATTTTTATTTTTCTCGTACATACCCAAATGGCCCTTTTCCCGTTACAATCATGTCTGCCCGGGCGTTATTCCATTGACTGTTGATATTAGTTCAAATATGCGTTTAGACTGCTGTAAGAAAATCACATGGTAAAGAAATTGATCCGTGGTTAGCTTGTGGGTGGAATACTACCAGGCTGCGTAGGTCAAAGCAAGCGATCTTCCTTTTCCCTACGAAAACGGTAACGACAGTGCATTTGTTAGTTAAAATAGTCTATAGCCTGATTGTCTGAAAAGAAATTACATTCCATGGAGAAGTTTATCGGCTACCGATGGAAAGCCTATGTCCAAATACACATGACCTATGAGAGGGTGGAGGGCGTCAGGACAAACCTTATTTGTATAGCAACGGATCGCAAGTGAAATTAATTTTGCATGAAATTCAGACGTGGTGTACATACCTGGGGAACCAGGTTTACTGTCTTTGAGGGCATCTAGGAGGTCATCTGAAAGACTTATAGCCTTTGCATCGGCCTGGAGGTCACGTTGTGGGGATCCAGATTGATCACTTGGAAGGTCTGCTTTTTCAGGTTCGGGAGTCGAGGCCTCGGCAGATACTTTGATTGCCACATGGGGTTTATCGGAGGGGAAAGTGTGTTCAGGTCTGGGTTTGTCACCTGGGAAAAAAAGAATGTTGGCATACAGACTTAAAAAGTAAGGCTGTTCTACTAACCCGTATGTTAGCGCCATTATTAGTTGGGTGGTTCAAGTGTCACTGGCACAAATAATCAGTTAGGCTCCATGATGAAATCTGACCGCTTATAAACTGTTTTCCAGTCGTTATTGTCGATATACTCTAGTCTGGCATTTTTTTACATCATTTGACGCCGTTCCGACCAGCATTTATGTTTCTGTAACCAAATGACTTTGTATAACTACCGGCATTCCCAGTTAATCAAAAACCTGAGCGGATATGCCCACATATCGATAATCGAAACAAACCCAATTGCCGACAGTGGTCTCTGTTTCAGAAATTATTTGTATTCTGTAGGTTAAACAAACTTCCGCTTCATTCAGTTAGGTATCGTACATTCTCCATTTCTTACCAATATATCCTTACTTGGAGGATGTTGAAATTACGATCAATTCAAAAGTTACCTATTAGAATCGTCAGATGTACATAGGCACGTGAATTGGTTCCCTGACGCGCACCGATGCCCGTTTGCGCCTACCACTTTTCTACTGCTCTACACTTGTTTGGCGAACTGCAGACGGGAAAACTCCTGAGAAATAGACCGGACACCCAAGTCCCAGATGGATATCGAGCCGGACGACAGAGGCTAACACCAAAGCTGCGCGAGGGATATGGACCTCGGATCCTAGGGTATGAAGGAAGCTGGTGACAGACTTGATCGGCTTGACCATCACTACCTACTACCACCATGAAAGTCAAAAATGTACCCAAGAAATGGCTGATTAACGGCGAAAACCAACGCGAAAGGCTTGTAATTATTTGGTTACTCCGGCAAGTGACTCCAGTGACGGAACCGCCGTTGCGCGTAAATGATGATTTGCTGAACCCAACATTTGTGCTGAACTTTTTGGGAAATCGTAGGACAGATGCCATCACACCTCGCAATAGTTGTAACCGCAAAAAGAATGCAATACAAAACACAGTACCCGGAACGAATGCAAGTTAACATGACCTAAAGAAAGGACTTAGGAAATGTTAGACATTTGGGCATTCACAAAAGGTCACGAAAAACCAGTGCCTTGATACCCTCTAGAACGCGTCGACTCAGCGCATTTCTAAAGCCAGCAGCTGTGCTGTCATGCACAAACTTTGGGACATCTGGTCTGTTTTGTGATTCAAGTTCCCTGCAAACGCACAAGATCAGATACCAAAATACAGGAGGCAGGAAAGGATAGTGAAAGATGACTACATAGTTGACCATCATGCCGTTATAAATTCTAGTGAATACGATCAAGATAAACATCCCTACTATATCCACCTTGAAGAAACAAAAGCATAGTGAAAATACCCCCCTTCGGATTGCGAAGTAGCAGGAAACAAAAATCTCAACAACCTAGGAGAACCCTAGTTCATAACTCTAACAGTAGACCCATCCGATGGAAAGCACAACACGGAAATATTTTGAAGGGAAAGACCACTGAGCCGTCGGATAACTACACTAGAGTCAAGAATCACCTTCTTCTATGACGTTTCTTGCTTTTCAGGAATGCGCCACGATAGAACGGCACAACAGCCAGCGAAAGAAATCATCGTTGACCCAACTTGATAAGATGCCATACGATGACGCAAATAACCACGAAATCAACCCTTCGAAAGAGGATGAAGACATTCCCATCGAGAACGGCGTCCAAGAACAGAACAGAACACCCAGGAAAGGCCGCATGCGCTTAGGACACTCCTCTCAGATAGTTAAAAATACTGGNNNNCAGTCACAAATGTGCCCAAACGCGCTCACGAATGTACTCCCAAACTCCATGAGGAATTGGTCAAACCCACTTCGATCTATTGACAGCCCGCAGTAAGATGTGATAGTTGTTCCACGCAAATGGCGCACGGTTGTGTTGACTAACCTGGACAATCCGGAATAGAAAGCTTTGACTCAATGGATGGGGATGCACGGTTGCCTGGCTGGGCACCCTCCAGCTGGGCTTGCGCACTTCGGTGACATTTGGAACAAAGGCCGTCGAAATTCGGACTACCGTAAAAACCACAGCCTTTCCGACACAACAAAGGAATATTCTGTTGGTTGTTGTCCTCCATCTGTATTGAGTTAAGGATTTCCAATTTCAATAATGCTATCAGATAATCCAACGGTATAAGGCTGGACGCAGAACCGGGCAGATTCCTAGAGGCAGGATCTGCAAGTACCGCTATCGTACCACCGGATGACTAAGAGTTTTTCGAGCCAACCTCCACAAGAAGAGAGTGCACATAAACAAACATTTCGAAACACCGAACGCAAACCGTAATTTAAGTGACAGTGAATTGATGGAAACTGTAATGTCAGGACATCGAGTTTCTTCGGGTTATATAGAGGAACTGGTAGGCGGAAATTTCAAAATTTGACGCTGTAACGGCAAAAATTCCAAACAAACACATCAAAAGACAGATCCAATCCAATCCAATCTTCCAGGACATAGAGGCCTCGGCCTTGTGGTTGTCCTGATTCTGGCTCGATCCCGTCGGCAAACCGATATAGCTGTATGTTTGTCCGGCTTGCAGCACGGTTGATAATTCCGCGACCGTCCGAAGATGCGCGATTCGGGTGTAGTAGGAGTCGCGTCTGTTATTGGCAAGGCTGAAAAAGAAAGGGAAAATGCTGTCTTCTCGCCCTGTCGGTGAGAGACTTACGTACACCTAATCGTAAGCGCTGCTGCGTGTGCATGCTGAGCATGCGCACCACGTTATGCCAAAACGTGGGGATGGGGAGAATAAACGAGGGAGCTTACTCCCTTTTGTTTTAGGTCACTTCTGGAAACTTTTCGGCCCATACTCTATCTAATTGCATTTTAGAGGCTTGCACTGTGGTCAGTTGAACGAGTCTTAAGGGGAGGCGATTCCAGAAGTTGACCACCCTGTTGAAGAAATGTTTCCTCACATCCAACCTACTTCTATTCTTTTCTAGGTGACATTCATGACTGTGAATATAGTGAAACTTTTGCCATTTTAGTGAAATAACGTACGTTATTTCAAGCTTTTGTACCTACTACGGTATTCCCAAGGTACAACTGTCTCTAGGAAAATATCTCTTTTTCCTCGAGTTTCATTAACAAGACCGTTTCTCGTTTTTTTAGTGTAACGTTATACTCAGGCCTTTATCTATTTTGGTTTCACGCAGAGACACCTCGTATATACACAGGATGAATTTTTCACTCTTTTACCAGCTTTTTTGGTTTGTTGGTATCGCTTTGAGCTACGTCGCGCGCATCCGACAACTGCTTGTCTTCTAGCTGCGGCCGAAGAGTTGCGAGAGGTATCCAAGGCGAAACCTGTGAAACGCACAAGTGTATACACACGCACGCCTACATCATTCGCCCTGTTGGGGCCGTTTATGCAACTTCCGGAAACAGTTCCGTCCACATTGCATCTAGACGGCCATTAAACTCCTTGACTAAGGTGGCTGAAACAACCGAGGCTGATAACTTATTCCAAGGGTTTGTAACCCTATGAGCGAAGAAAGTCGTGTGGGTACTCCTTAGTGCTCTCGGTTTTCCAAGCTTGAATCCATTTCCTCGCACAGCGAGGATATTATTCCTGGATAGCAGTTCAGTTCAGTTCAGTTCAGTTTGCACAGGACAATAGTGGCCGAGACTAATCGTGCGTCCAGATAGTTGTGTTGTTAGCTAGTCTCCTTGGCTTCCAACACTGCTCGT